AGTTTCTCGCCTTGTTTCTCTGTTACGTTAACGACCGGTTTATCATTTTCGAGGCAAAGTACCGCATATAGCCTTCACAAACTACTGACTTTGAATTAGTAATCGTGATGTTAATCAGAATAAATGGACATGGCGCTTTTACTCTCCCTCCTTAAGAAACCGTTTAACGGCATAAAAAGGAAAGTTGGACTCAAACGAAATTTCTACGTTCTAATTACTCAAAACTCTCAGGTGGACTTGCGAGGCAGAAGCATCCTTTCAAACGGTTTGTTTTAAGTGCTGTGGGAAAAAAATTTCATTTCAGGATTGTCCTCAAAGGTGACAAACTTCTGCAAGGTATACCGCTCCATTTCAGCAGAGGTGCACTCGCCTACGTGAACACAGCTTCTTCGGATAATTGAGTCTTCATTACTTTGTATTTCGGTGTCTCCCTCGTCCTTCTACGTATGCGCTACCTCATAATGTTTAACAAATTATGAATCCTAATTCTTACTAGGTTACTCTCCTGCTTTACCAGTTTGCACAACTTTTGATCTTTCCGAATAAAAAAATAGCTCAACGGAGAAGCCTTCGGTAATACGACATTTCTGTGGCACAAAAAGTTTCCAAATTTCTTTTCCTAATATAAACGAGTTTAAGCGCCCTTGGTGAGTTGTTTTAACGGGGAAAGCTAGGGTCACTTCTCTCAAAAGTGGGGTCAAAATGAGGCCAAATTCAAAGACTTCATTTCGGATCACATGTACAGTGGTGGTTTCCCCTGTCTGTGGGTGTTACATCTTTGAACACAAGAAGCCTCTCGTTCACTCACACAATGTTGTTAAGAAGAAAATGGTATCTCACCCCAAGGGTATTTCATAGGTGAAAGACTGTACAACGGTTCAGGTTCACCTCGGCTGCACGCTTTATCTATTTAAACCTTCACACTTCATTTTCCCCACCAGATACAACTCACCTCCTTTCTGGGAATAACGACGACATCCTCATAGCTACACAGGTGAGTAGAAGCTAATCGTTTATAATCCAACAAGCTGACCATCGTCTTTATAACTCGTGTCCGATGTAGTTCATGACCTACCGATACCCTCCTTAAGAAACCGTTTAACGGCATAACAGGGAAAGTTGGACTCAAACGAAACTTCTACGTTCTAATTGCTCTAAACTCTCACGTGGACTTGCGAGGCAGAAGCACCCTTTCAAACGTTTTGTTTTAAGTGCTGTAAGAAAAAAAATTTCAGTTCAGGATTTTCCTCAAAGGTGACAAACTTCTGCAAGGTATACCGCTCCATTTCAGCAGAGATGCGCTCGCCTACGTGAACACAGCTTCTTCGGATAATTGAGTCTTCATTACTTTGTATTTCGGTGTCTCCCTCGTCCTTCTACGTATGCGCTACCTCATAATGTTTAACAAATTATGAATCCTAATTCTTACTAGGTTACTCTCCTGCTTTACCAGTTTGCACAACTTTTGATCTTTCCGAATAAAAAAATAGCTCAACGGAGAAGCCTTCGGTAATACGACATTTCTGTGGCACAAAAAGTTTCCAAATTTCTTTTCCTAGTTACATCGTTGAACACAAGAAGCCTCTCGTTCACTCACACAATGTTGTTAAGAAGAAAATGGTATCTCACCCCAAGGGTATTTCATAGGTGAAAGACTGTACAACGGTTCAGGTTCACCTCGGCTGCACGCTTTATCTATTTAAACCTTCACACTTCATTTTCCCCACCAGATACAACTCACCTCCTTTCTGGGAATAACGACGACATCCTCATAGCTACACAGGTGAGTAGAAGCTAATCGTTTATAATCCAACAAGCTGACCATCGTCTTTATAACTCGTGTCCGATGTAGTTCATGACCTACCGATATATATTTTTCTGTATTGTAACCTGACAAATCGCCATTTGTTTTTCACACCCACAGTTTTTACCAGAGTGAACATTTGAGATTTGTTAGATGTATCTCTTCTTTTCATAGGAGCTCCTCCTTTCCTGATGCGACAAGAATACCTAGGTCACTCTACAGAACAAGCAATTTACTCGCGTTTTGCTCTCCTCTGGCGCAATGTTTATTTTTGGCCTTGCCATGTGTTGAACTGTGGCCGTCAGACGTTGGAGGCAATTCCGTGTATCCACGCTGGGCAAACCTAGCAGATCGATATTTAGCAAATGAAGGTGTCTGTATTCCGCGACACTTGTGGTTTGTCCGGCACACTGAAAGCCGATCCCAACTATCCTGGTTATTGTTACCGACGACTCGCTTTTTAGGGATTCCCAAATTGGCGTTTTATTCCCATTCCTTGGGATATACCGGTTCGTCACCATGTGATCATCTTTAATCACTTAACGAGTTCATACCGTTTTCACTACAGGTTTTGGATCTTGCGAAAATCCGCATATCTCAGTGGAAGCACTGTACGCCCTCAAACACTGAGGAGTTGCACAATTTGGCTTCAGAAAAGGAAAATGAAGGTGGCCAGGTGAGATAGACACTATAGCTTCTTCTCTCTAGTAAGAGACTGGAAGCGGCCCCAATGAAAAGCCAGCTGATTTTCAGCTTCTCGATATTTTTTCTCTCCTGAACTTTTCTAGATATTCATTGACTGTTGGTCAAGTATAAGCAAGTGCTACAAAGCGACTCCACAAATTCCTTAATAGATCTCACTTTTCAAGAGACGCAAAGCGGATTTACGAGAAAACATACTACTCGCATACCTCCCCCATCAATAGTATCGCCGTTACACGGGTATATCTTTCGATTCCTATTGGGTCATGGTAATCTTGGAAGTTCGTTCTGTTGAACACATGCTCCGATGTTAAGTCAGTCTGCGAACGCGAGAATAACGTAAGCCGCGCGAGTAAGTGTCTTTGCGTAGACCCTCTGCACAAGTATATATTGGAATCGCTCCATTGAATAGGTCGCCGATTGTGAATCACATCAGTACGATAATGAAAATACGTCTGACCAAACAAGACCAGAATCGACGGTGGATGAACCCAGCTGACTATGCAATGCAAGATAGTCGCAGTTTTTATAAAGACATACTGGAACAAATGAACGACTCCCATTAAAAGAGGGGCTAGTAGGAATTGGATGATATCAAAAACGAAATTACTGGAAGACATGTCCGATATATAAGCGGATTCTTTTGTCCCTTTTCATGATATCGTCTCCCTTCTTCACTGTGGGCAGTCATCTGCTTATGCATAAACTGTACTCTGCTTAGTCTACTTAGTTCATAGTAGACAAAGTCTGGACTACAGTGAATTTCGTCTTCTTCAAGTGACGCTGATATTTTTCTTCGGGAATCAGTATTGTTCTCATTCCCTTCCGCGTGTTATAGAGATAATATCTACTGGTTGCTTCGAGGTTCCTAGGAGATTGGTGAGAAGCTCGGTGCCGTTGGTTCTCAGTAAGAATGAAACGGTCGTACAGTATTTTCAGAGTATTCAGAATAAATTGACTTCACTGACGGAGAATATTACAAAGCCGCCTCATACTCCCAGAAAACTATACGTAGCTCAGAAGGAATAGTGATACACGCGATGAGTGAAATTTATAAGAAGCCGTCACTTAAGGAGTCAGTCAACACCTGATCACATGGTGTGAATTCAGTGTCTGAAGGATGGTTTGCGCTATATCCTGTCCATCTGCGAGTTAATTACACTGCTAACCAGCCGTTTCTGTCTGAGCAGTCGAGTGTTCAACCACTTGTTCGGAAAATCGCGGATTCGAAATGCCCTAACGGTTCGGGAGAGGTACATTGCTGATTATCCCCAACTGGTATGAAACAACTGTACAGGGCTTCTCAGCTTCCCAGAACAGGGTGATTTTAGTTACGAAACAACATTCCCGTTATTAAAACTGCCAATTTCCCACATACACAAGAAATTATGTCAACTAATGGAACGTCCCCGGAGCTGTATAAACGCGCTCTTGATCATCAACGACCTCATACACACAAGTGAGCTTGTATTCCATCAACAGTTCGATTACTTACAATCAAATCAACCTTCTAACAACTGGACAAACTCTTGCCACATACCATAATACTATGTCAGCTAAATTGCTTTCACAATCTCATGCTTATTTATGTGCGCTTTTGTGCGTTTTCTGTCATTTTCTACCCCTCCGCCGGTACTTTTGATGAACTTCCTTCTGACTAAAAGCGCTCTAAGACCCATTTCAACCGCAGCTCATATATCCACACCCACCCTCACGTGCATTCCTTTCTGTCTATTCACATTTTCACCCAAAAATACCCACTGGCACGTCTCATCCGGAGTGCTCATCTCACAAATTTCAACAAAGTCCAGCGTCAATATATATTTACCACATAAGTAATTCCATCTTGGTCTAGTATCATGATAACTGGTATACAGATGAGGCAATATTAATATTATGCTCATTTTCCCCTCCTGTGAACTCAAATCATACAACATTCATACGGCGGTAGTCTATCAATAAACATCAAAATAAAACGAAGTAATTTTTAACGAGCGGATTTGAGTAGTAAGGTTAGTTCCAAAACAGTTTTAATCAGCATATTCTGTGCGCGCAGCGCCATTTGTCTGGTTTCGATTACAGTCGCTTCGCTAAACAGCAGCAGTGTCGAGTTCGGATTGTGTAATATGATGGGTAAGCAGTCGGTTAGGTTGCACGCCATAGGTGACTTCTGTTTTAGAAAACACTGCATGGTTTGCATCCATAATTGGTGAAAACAAATGAAATGTTAACATCTCATCAAGTATATCCCCACGATATCCTAAAGGGATGAGATACAGAGATCCGACTTTTCAGCTACTCTGATACTTTCAGGTCCGACAATAGTACGGCATTCTCCCCATTGTTTTCACCTTGCATCTGTTTAACTGGCAGCTTTTGTATCACGGATCGATTAAGTGCACCCAACTGGTTATCCATCCACTTTTATAGAGACCACCATAATGTCTCCATATTCCTCGCTACTCTGAACTTTCATGGTTTATCACTCCCACAGATAGGAACAAAGAAGTTCAAGCCAGTTTTGTTTATTAGACCTGATCCGGCCAGGTCAAACCCCACTCAGCAAATACACTCTGCCTCATATAAATCGCGAGGCTATGGAGACATATTCCAATCCAAGATTGAATCCGGACCACGACCCAAGTAAGCTGTGGTGTCAATTCATGAATGCTTGCTATTTATCCTTGACAGCGATTGATTTTATCCTTCTTGGGTGCTCGACAAGGTGGGCATTTGTCCGTACACACTAATGTGAAATTGAACTGCTGGAAAACCCACTGCTAAACTTGGCTTGAAATCCGATCAGTACGATGTAGGCAGTCTAAGTGTGTTAAATATCTGCACTTTAATAAGGAAATAGAAGTCTGCGAATGGTCGCTTTTCATCGCAATGGCAACGAAATAGCATGCTAAGTTAGAATACGGCACAGTGTTGCTATACTATAAAGAGGCATTGTCTTCTCAATGGTTAGGAGGTTATATTGGTGGGTCTTGGCGATGCCTCTTTTGCTGGCACAGATTGGGCTCACCCGTCCCAATGGTGATCGCCTCAGCTTTTTGAGACATTGGCTGGCGAATGACGTTCGACCAATGTTTGCTAATCAACAGATTACGTTGACTCGGCTGGATTGATTCGGTGGGCTGTATCGAATAGGTGGCAGGAGAGAGCCCTTGTCATGTGTATGGCTGGCTGTGTGTTCCGGTGACTGATTGTCCGAGATAAGCGCCTCGTCGTCCTACCCACGTGGTGTGCAGAAAATTCACAATCCAACGAATATGCACACATGGGGAAATCGTGACCGGCGCTTTGTTCTTTAAACTCGTGTTGAGCACATGATCTCTGATAAAGTGTTAAAGGTTGTTCGCAGCTCTGAGGTTGTGATATGAGCTTCATCGACGTACCGTTTACAAAATAGTGGTAGGTCTTGAAAATTCGCCTGAGTTTGCTCAGCTTCTTGGGCGAAGCTGGGTAGAAGACCGGACATAGAATACCAGTTGCTTGCGTTACTTAGAAGGATTGGATATACGAAAAAAATAGCCTAAAGAAAGACGCTTATTTTCCAGGTTGGAAACTAACTCGGAGCATCTGAGCCCCATTGTTTGATGCTAGATCTCTATGTCCAGCGAAGCCGTAGTTCTGGATTCAGAACCACATTCGTGTTGATAAAGCCGAAACACTTTATCTAACCTTTCTACGATTCTCAGTGAGTGGCTTTTAAACGAGTTTCCATTAGTGTATAGAACCCACGTTGCTTCCACCTTTGAGTCATCTTGATCAAAGGTTGAACACATCACACCATGTTGGGTGCTCTTTACTCTGAAAATGATGATGGCTGAAAGGAATTTCACCGTTTTTCATGAACTGATCGCCAAACTGGAAAAATACAGTGACTGAATGCGGTTGCACCTGCGCAGAATGGAAGCACTTGTTCCAGAGTCAATGATGTGGAAGAAGCTACTTTTCCACAATGGGATATATATATGTATGTATATATACATATATTGGATATATATATATATATATATATATATATATATATATATATATATATATATATATATATATATATATATATATATATATATATATATATATATATATATATATATATATATATATATATATATATATATATATATATATATATATATATATATATATATATATATATATATATATATATATATATATATATATATATATATATATATATATATATATATATATATATATATATATATATATATATATATATATATATATATATATATATATATATATATATATATATATATATATATATATATATATATATATATATATATATATATATATATATATATATATATATATATATATATATATATATATATATATATATATATATATATATATATCATGCAGCAGATTGACCAGTAGTTCAAGTGGAGTTCGAGCGACAAGTAACTGCAGTTCTGACTGTTCATCAGTCGCATGGCGAGGGCAGCACGTGCCTGTTCCACTGGTGTTCATAAGCGTTTCTGGTAAAGTACGTTTGTAAGCTTTTCATGGACGTTTGTGTCTGGTACTTCTGTCACGCGTTAGGTCATACTGGTGGTTTCGATGAGGATTGTTGTAAACCAGATAAACCGTTTCTTAGATTAAAGTATCTGGTGCGGGACAATAGATCCATCGATTGATTACCAAGCCTTTATGGAATCAGCCATTAGATTCATGTTGAATTGTCACGTACTAGGTCACTTGTTTGCTTTTTGAACATGTTCTGAACATCGCCAGATGCTCTCATTTGTACACGAATCTGGTTTTAATGGGAGAGTCGATGGAATCTTGTTAAATCTCTCATTATTGATAGTCTTCTGCAACGGAATGTGATGCTGGGCTCGAGACAGCTCAGTAGTTAGAGAAGATCCTCGGTTTGGACTCAAATTCATCACTCTGTCTGCTCCTATCTAGGCTTGTGGCACTGCAGCATCGTAGACCTAGGACAGCTACACACCGTAAGAGATGTTTCAGCTGGACGAATGCTGCACAAAATTACTCGATCAGGGCAAATTTATGACATAAGCTTCCTAAGGTCTAAATACGTTTCAGCCGGTTTTGACCTGAATACCTCTCAATTCGCGGCTGTTAAAATTCATCGCAAGAACTCTCTTTTTATGGTCATCTGTGTGGTGTCGATTGTGCACAAATACGTGTGGATTTCAGTGCTGAACAACACTTATTGGATGTGTATGACCGCGTACTGTCGTTAATGTAATCGTATTTCGTCCACCTCCTGGGTTGAGTGCACCATCTTTTTTTATAACTGCAGTTGACGCTCAACAAGATTCGCTGACCATTCTTTGCTTTCCTGGCTTGATCTAATGTAGATCACCTTGTCTTCGAGAGAAGATGGGTAAATTCAGATTCTTTTATCCACTGAACCGACGTACTTTTCACTGCTCCATCTTTAAACTCGAGAAAGAGAGGGGCTTCGGATAAAGGTCCAACTCAGGTATCTTGTGTTCAACCATGATGTTAGCTGAAGGTTGCTCAACCAGGCTGCACTCAATGAGGCATTTTTATTGTCGTCTGTTTTAACCTTCACTGTAAATTAACTGGAAGCGAACGCTGAATTACTGTGAGATAAACGGTCGCCAAGAAGTCTATCTCGATGCGAATGGGTATGTTATTCACATGTAGCTACTGTGCTTTTTAATGGCTTAACAAAACGCGGAAGCGCTTGTGGTTTAAGATAGAATGAATGAACATCATAAACAATAGATTCGGCTGGATTCCTGGTGAGTCTTTTGTCAAAGGCATATTGGTATCTAAGTGAGTGTATTTCGCCAAAATGTTTAGCTGCAGTCCAATAAACAGATAATCCCGTTTTCCAGCTAGCCTAAGCAGACAGTGACTATTAAATATAGACTTTGAGTAATAGTTACAGGGAAATTAACGTTCGGTTAACCTTGTTTGCATTTTTATGTATTTTAAGCCGCTGTTATACCAACAGACTTGTCTTTCTGCTTCCACGACGACTCGTGTGACGGTCTTTGACTCGTCACATTGTTTTTGAGCTAGCTTGACAACTAATTTTAGCCAGCTGGGCACAGCTGAACGGACTTCTCTACACCTATCTAGTTTTTGTAAAAACCCTTTCAATCAGTGGTGGACTATAATAAGTTCTCTGGGTGAGGATAGGCGGGTTTCCTTGTGCTTAGTATGACAGCGAAGCTTGATACGGGGAGCTATTCGTGGTAAATTCGTTTTCCCATATCACTTTTCAAGTGCGCTAGCGAGATGTTGCTACTCGCAGCTTCATATGCTCTCCACAGTTGACATTCGACGGTAGTAATGTAAGGAATAATGTCTGTGTTGTCTTGACGGGGGTGTGCTTACACTGCACGAAATATTTGGGCTTCCGGTCCATTCGACACGGAATTTAACGCACTTGCTCTCCATCAGTTATCTTGCACGCATGATCGAATCGTACTTTTTGAAGGTTTAGGTATTACACGATGAGGCTTGGTTCCCATTGTCAGTAATCAGGCTGTTCACAGCCATTTAATGGTTGCATGTTAGATTCATTATTTTTACAGTGCTGCTCCGTCGAATCTATACCGGTCCAAATGAGCCGTTCTGGAGTCAACAACTCCGACAGCTACCAGTTATCATTCATCTGATCTGGCTTGCTTACACACGCAAAGACTATGGAGGCAGGACTGTTAGCACGTAGGACCCAACCGTTCAAGTAGGTAGTGTAATATGCACGCTATGGAAGCACCCACCAACAGTGATTCTCTTAAAACAGGTGTTCACGACAATTTCTGTGGATGGAAAACAGAAACAAAGCTCATGAGCCAAAGCCCAGTAAGCAAGGTTGTACATCACCAATACTTACATATAAATCAATGAAGCTGACAGACACCGTATACTACAGGTAGCCTGGAAACACTGTCTATTAAAGTGGACGCACATCTGGTATCGGCATCACCATACTTGATTCTCACCAATCACGACTGGTTTAATGTCAAGCAGTCCAGCTATTGTCTCCCATTCAAAGTATGTTTCGGGGTTGAAGTGTTGGACCACTGAAACCAACGAAGCCGCTCTGCACCTTCCGTCCTCTCTCTTGAACATTATTTACCATGATCTTCCAGTTGCTCTTGGGTGGATAACATCACACCCACTTTGGCAGAATTTTGACTTGCACTACGTTGTGGTGGGGTTGTGAAACATGGAAATGAACAAATACTATTCAGTGATCCACAAAAGTTAGGAATTATCCCATAGAAGAGCAACCGTCTACACATTTTACGAGCACGTTCTTAATCGGCCGCGATTTAATGTACGAAGCTCTTGAAGGGAAACTGACCTCTCATCTTCTCAGTGGTACTTTGCTGTAGGAATCGCTGTAATTCAGTTTAGTATGTAAGAGCGCTGCAAGGAGCAACTTGAAAGGAATATGCATCAAACGAGCTAGACGCATTAGCCATCACGATCATTAGTGAAAAATCCTGAAAGGAATCTCTTCTACTCAAGTAAAGTTCCCATCACATCCCTCCAGTAGTTCAGTCAGTCGCGTGCCTTTGCTGAAACCCACTCGTTCTTCTTCTGTCTTGCAGTACACGGTGCTTCAGCGCAAGTTCGAGTTTAGGGAGAGCAAAGGCTACACAACATCGTCGTACTGGGGAAAGATCTCCCGTTTCCCCTTCCTTTACCATCAGTCCATACGACGAACATACAGGCCGGATGGGGAACCTATATCTCTTCAACAGTTTGCCGCAGCCTACTCCAACACATGCGTGGACAAAGCTCGATAACGGCATTAAAGAAGAAAAACAATCACCGTTCTGGAATGTGGAAAATGCACTACCTCCACAAGTTTCTGGAGTTGAAAGGGTCAGCGTGGATCGACAGGCGATACGGGAGATCACAACTAAGGAGGTAGAACTAAAAGCCGCTCTCGTAAGTTTCTTGAAGCGAGTTATCTGAAGAACCTGATTCTTCTTTCTTGGTCTGTTTCTTTCTGTGATTTTCGAGACTTGTCTGAGTGCTATTTCTCGAGGACACTTCTTCTGGTTAAGGGATTTTGATATGCTGATCCTGAAAGAAATAGCCGAAATTTCTAATAAGGCATATCGTTAACAGAACAGTGGGGGACACACATGAAGCCTATCACTCGTGACCTCAGACTTTGTACTGTTGACTGTTTGGCTCGAATCATTGATTTTTTTACCTTCACTGTTGGGGCCACTAGTTCACGATTGCAGTTGCTAACCCGTGTGCACTATTCCGCTAAATCAGTCGCATAAAGCTCCGACTCAACTATCGGGGATTTGCATACCTATCATTCATGACGGTCAGTAACAGCACACAGTCACCTCAGGAAGTGCTAACAAATCTCCGATATCAGGCTGAAAACAAAATAAAAAATCAGCCCCTACGTATCCGCCGTGGTCTAAGATACTCAACGACTTACTTAAGGAACACATGAAGATGTTTGTATCCTCTCTTTGCCTTCAAATCGGTACGGTAAGTAGACAATGCTGATTGAGAGTTGTCCATCTCAGAATCAAAGCGTACCACTGCAGAAGATGCTTATCAGCTCACCACCATTTAGTAGCACTTGTAGTTGCCTCCAAGACACGGTTATATACTGTTTTGCAGCATGCTATATCCTCTGAATGAGTAAGTACCTTTGGGAGACACAAAATGTATCTTTGGGAGCTGAGTTTTCGTTCCGGAAAATAGTTAATTTGAACTAATTCCGAAGCTTTATGCATCCGGTTAATGAAAACTCGATTGTGTGTGGTTCTTGTTCACATACATCTCTTTCGTCCCACAAGTTAAACGAAATTTATCAAAAGGATTTCTCGGGATATTCCTCAACCTTGCATACACAGTGCTTCCTGTTTGGGGAGATCATCCACAGCACCGATCGAAAGTATATCCTCTCGCAGGAATTCTCTGTTAATGGCACTCACTCTTCTTGTCCATTTTTAGGTTCAAATACCCAACAATGTATCCGTTGTCTTTTTCTTTATTATTAGGCCGAATCTGAAGTTGGACCAATATACAAATCCATTGTGTGCTGAGAAAACCAGAATAACTTCTAGCTAGAGGTAGTCTAGTACGTACATTTTCTGGATTTGGTCCTCTGGACGACCCTCAAATTTCCTTCTCGGTCACATTCCTAATCAGGCATCTTCCAATGTGACGTAGTCTATCTAGTCCGGAAGGAACGGTTGAATAGCTACGGATTTTTATGCACTGCTTTCCACATTCACCTCTACTTGACTTGTGTTGTCTTCCAGCGTGATTACTGATGTTATGTAAGTAGGCTAGAGGCAGTGTGAATATCCAACCAAGGGCTGCTGGTTCAACGTTCACACGTCTTCTCTTTTTCTCGTAGGCTGGTGTGCCTTCTCCACGTACACCAGATGCACTGTTAAAGTCTCCGAAATTGCTCTCCCCGCTGTTGATAAGCACAAAGTTGCTCGGTAATACCCCCAATATCGGGAACAGCAAATCCCCGTCTCCGAGACCCAGTCCTATAACGGATAAGCTTTCATGTATCGCAGCCCCACTTGATCTGGCCGAATATGATCAATCAGACGATCTGTCGGCGAGTTTTGAGGCAAGTCTTCTTGCTAGTTTGAAAGAGGCAGCCACTGGTGCGGCTTGTCGACAGTCTGGCCTGGAATTAGGCATGGAGGCGAACGGGATATCTAATGCATTTACGACGACAATAGGCAAAAAGCATGCAGAGGTGTCTGAAAAACAGCAAGGGTGTCCAGCCGAACTGAGACCTCGTTTAAGTAAGTTTGTTTTTTGTGTGGAGATTTCGTCTTGTAAGTGAAGCCGATCTATGCTGAAAAGCCGATGTACATTCTACAGCTGTTTCACCCACATTGTTGTGAACTTGTGATGACTCGTTTTGACGGTTTCCATAGTCACACCTTTAGACACCACCAAGCTGCGTGTCTGTGCAGCAAACCATTCTAAAAGTTTGGTCCAAGTTTTTCTCTAGCGAGAGTAAAGTTGGTATGGACAGAACGAAGCTCTGGAAGGAGACAGATAATAGCCGATTTTTCTTTCGTGTTAGCCCATATTTTTAGAAAACGTTGAATTTTTTGTCAGAAATTAGTCCTCTTTGTTATGACCAGAAGAAGATTCTTGGAAGGTTTTTCTGGTGGTTTTGCCATTTGTGGGTTCACCAGGTCGGTCCAATCCCCAAAATTTCTGGCTATCTGGTATTTTACTTGCACACAAAATCTGATATGCAGGCGGATACACACTGGTTTGATATTCAAATGGATCTCAGTTGTTTCTAGGTACCCTCACCGCATGGTCGGTGTTTAGACATAGCATAGTCTACTTACTGTAAACGAATGGCTGCTTACGGGCTATTACGATGCTTCAAAACGAAAAATTTCTCTTCCTGGGTTTAGGCCTCTTGGATGCTCGTGTACAAAGTCACACATATGACCTGGATTATCTGGGAGGGGGCATTTGTGAACTCGTCCAAGTGATCAGCATGCGTTATCCAGGCAAAGCAACAACGCAGGTTTCACTCAGAATAATTCCTAATGATGAACAAGTGGTAGATAATACTGTCGAAAAATACTTCCCAAAAATTCTGGTGGATTTGTACTAATGGACAGCAAGACAAAGTTACAGCATCCTAGTGAATTCGTTTATCGAGAAACGGACACTTTTACAGCGCGACACATATTTGTCTATTGGATGGCGGAGAAATTTACTGAAGTGAATTCCACACAACTGCCTTTTATGATAGATTAGGCGGAACAACGGTTGAGTATCTGGGGTAGTGAACTGAATGGCAAGTTCTGTACCGGTGAGACTCATTGGTATAAAATAAGTCAGCTTTTAAAAGGGAGTTTGCAGGAGAGTAGTTCATAAGCACATGCTACTGTGATGTCGGTTTTGATTGCGTTTCTGTCTGTATGATATGCACTCGAATTCAGTAGGTGGTCAGCGCCCAACTCACTATTTATTGTTCGCACCCTATGGCACAACCCTGTTAGGTAAGCTCTCTGTATGCGTCACACAAATTCACTGAGAATATGCACTCATTCAGGCTTTCGGTGTTTTCAATATATTTGTGAACTCTCATCGTGAGAATGACCTCACAGTATGTGTTTACACGAATACAGGATGCAAGGAACTTCTAGAAACGATATTTTGGTTAGGAGCGACCCCTCACAAAAGGTTCTTTCGCTGAAAGTTTGGCATATTATCACGCCAAGTGTGCGGCTTATTCTTTACTCCTGAGTACAGATGCTGGCCCTGTCTTCCAAGATAAAGCTCCACCGAAGTTTCTCTTTCCGACGTTTGTTTTGTTCATTAATTTAGCCCATGATTTTTGCTTGAAAACACGTTGTCTTCGGTTTGCATGAATGTTTTCAGATATTCCTCCCCGTCACAGTAAACCCGGCTTGATTGGGAATTCGCAAACCCCTGAAAATTTGCAGCTTCGAAAATTAATAGAGAACGAATTTCAAACGGACATAAGTTATAGTGATGATGATACTTCAATGGCCACCACAACTGCTGGACTCGGCTCTTTGCTTGACAGTCCTTTCCCCGAGAGCTACGTTGAAGGAAGAAAGAAGGAATATCCTGGATTCCCATCAAGCAAGGGTAGTTTCAATCCAGAAACGAAATTGGGAGCTCCATTGCTATACACCGATGGCATTTCAGTTCATCCGAGTCATCCATCGAATAGTAGGCAACATGCTGACGAGGGGTAAGTTAAACGCAAAACGTGATGTACGACTGGTTAGTCCAGGGTGTACCACCTTCCGCACGATGACCATTCAAATTTATTTGTTGAATTTTCTTGAACTGATGGTTTGAAACATCGGAAGAATTACGATGCTGAGTCCATCCGTTGCTACCGCATACATTTCCAGTATTCCTCTGCAGAAAAATGACATCTAATCACACGTGGAGACTAGCTCGCGTGAAGTGGAAGCCATCGGAATCCGAGAAAACAGGTGCAGCTATTCTATTATCCCGTTGGTATGGTTAGTAGAAAGAATACCATAGTCTTTACATTACCAGTAATGGTGTAATCAGAAAAGGTTATTCTTGTATACCTTAGCTCGTGAATGATATCTACACATAAGCAGCTACACGACTGACGCGTTTTCGTGGATAATTCCCTGAGTATGAACTGATGAGTTGTAATGTGTATGCATTCATTTTGTTGTGTCGGTCGCATGACTACCAGGAATGCTTTTATGGTTGACTTTTGTTCAGTTTGTTTGGTAGCTGATACTGCCCCCGAAGTTGAGCATAGAGCAACCTGAGTCGGTATCGTTCAGTTATTGCCGTCAACAGGTTGAGTATAAGTCAGGATGCAGCAGCTAGTGAAGAGATTATATTACAAAGTCGCAAGGTATCTATTGGCCAAAATCACGTCCTGACCTCTAGAAATATTAAAAAACGTGGGAAAAAACAGTGAGAAAACTATGTCTAAGGTGCAACGCCGCCCGAAACAGACAGCGGTTACTGATATTCACTTCTAATAATGAATTCATCATAGTGACACCACCATGTATGTATACACTACTTGGTCTCCCACGAAATATATAGATTTCATCCTTAGCCAAGAAATACTGTCGATATATTCAACTCCGCGTAGCGTTCTGTGGCCAAGCCACCTGTTGGTTTAACAGAATCTGTCAATAAAGAGGTATTCGTACATAGCCTGGAGGATACGTTCGGCTTCTTTCGACTGGTTGAAGTACTAAACCAATATGGCCGACACACGTACTTCCTTGTTTGGTCAGTTACCAACACACGCTCAAAGAAATAACCGAGTACCTCCTTGAGACACAACCATATAGAGGAGAATATCGGTAGCTCAGGTAGCGTAGATGGTCGTTGGCATGTTCGCTGAGCTGGGCAATTTGGTTGCAAACGTTTCATCACCAATCGAGATGACATCATCAGTGCGTAGTTGTGCGTAGCGGTGGGTTAGTGGTTGTGCCTCACGTGTAGATGCTTGTCGGCAGGCGAAGTTTTCCCAGCGACGAGCTTCTTTGAGCGTTGTACGCCCGAATTGGTTT